ATTCCCCTACCACTTTCCTCTTTTCCCCGCTGTCCATAAACTAGGGTAGTGGGGGCACTAACCGATAGAACGATGTAGGCACCTCGATTTTGTGAATTTATGAATGACTTGCTCTATCTATTTTTATTGTTAATCTAAGGAAATACCTATGCGTTCCAGTTCAAGTGTCTAGACAAGCGTCTCATATTTGTATTTTGTATAGTTGAATATCCCGCCAGAAATCATCTACTATCGACGCCATTTTCAATCCAGTTAGTTGGCTTGTTGTTTAGTCGGTGGTGGTTGTGGTTCATATCATATCCATATCATATCCTCTGTCATCTGTGTCTGTCATATCACGATATCACTGATTATGTCATTATGATCATATTAGGGATGTCGCAAAAATAAAATAAATCGATATTTTGAATCGATTCAAGATCGGACATAACAAGATCGATCCAGAAAAAAATCGGTAACCAAAGATCGATCTTATTAAATATCGATATTCGATTCTGAATGTATTGGTGTACTGGTATAATAAAAATACGATATAATCATAAAAAAATTAGATACATAAAAATCGTAAAACCGTTTATTAACACATTTAAAATTGAAACTGAATAACAGTCATCCCAAACTGAATCAGAAACACCCACAAACCGAGACATACTTGTAAAAATTAAAAATACTATAACAATATTAAAATATAATTATTCGGCTTTTTGCATGCTTATGATGATTTTGACACAGAATATGTACCGGTAAATTCTGTAATTTCGATATATCAGTCGGTTGGAAAGAAGCTAAAATCAAAAAATATTCTGTTATCTAAAATATAAAAATATGGGAATCACCGACAAAAATCTGACACCTAATATCAAAGTGGTAAACAGACATCGGCGCATGCGGTAGCGAGCACTTTAAGCCCCGTTTGAATTGTCAATCAGTGTCGCTGTCGACACGACGCAGTTCTGAGAACGGGGCTTTAAGCCCCGTTTTAAGTGGTTCTTTTGTCGTGTTGCTGGCGACACGTCAAAATGACCAATGAGATTTATACAAAATTCAAACAGCTGTCAATTTTAAATTTAGTACAGCTCCCATTGGTGGTTTGAAATGTCAACCTGTGTCGCCAGCCACACAACGTCGTTCTAGAACAAGGCTTTTTCAAAGGAAGGAATTGTGATACAATGCCCTCTATAAAAGATCAGCCTACGGGCGGACTTTTGTTTACTTCATCAGCTGTACATACTTAGATATTGGGTTAGATTCTGTATTCATATTTTGTCGGTTGATTTTTGGTATTATTTGTTATTGTAGTGCAAAAAACTAATTATTTTGGTCTTATTAAGTTGGTTATTAAGTGATATAAAGTACTACCAGATATATGGTTACTATGATGGTCAATCTGTTTCTCATAAAAAAACACGAAATATTACACGTTTTGTTAAGTGCTTTAACCTAAAAGTGCCCATAAATTTTTTATTTATCGTGATTTTTGTGTGTGTCTTTTAAGACTCAACAATTCATCAATAAAGCTTAAGTGGAGTGTGTTTTTGGTGCTATGCCTCATCTTTGTTGTGTTCCTGGTGGAAAGGATAGTTATACTAGGCAGCTTAAAGTATCCGGAAGAGCAAGAAAAGTGGGTACGAGTTATAAATCAAGACAATTCTATTGAAAATATCTTTAATAAATTTAAAAATAATATTCTCCCAGAATGGTATTAAAGAAAACTGGACAATTATGTTTATTTTATTCATATTGTGGAATCTCCACTCCAAGTGTTGTTGGTTCAGCTTCGATAGATTCAAACACGTAAGATAAACACGTAAGTAGGTATTATGATCTAGGGACAAATAAAGAATATGTATATTAAAGATCATGAAAAAGATTATTATTTTGAGTTCAAAATTAAAAAAGATTTTTGTAAAGACAAGAATGATAAAGTTTAAAAGAAGAATGTGTTTTTGTTTGATAATATAATGTATGTAAAGCAAAACATATACCTATTTGTTCAGTAATTTTTACTGAATAGTGTCGATTATTTATAATACCAAATTAATATCAAATATTTAAGTGATGGCTGAATACAATATGAATAAATTAACAATAAAATTGGTATATTTGCAATACAAAATTAAGTTTTAAGAATAAAGGTGTTACTAAAAATACTAAGAAATTCATATTTCTTTGTTTTAATTGGTCGAATGTTATTTACATTTTATTTAAGAATTATACCGTATCATCGAAAAAAAATCGGCGTCTAGTTGGCTTGGAAATGAACATCGATGACATTCCCTAAATAATTGTACACATAAAAAATTAGCTAGAATTTTACAATCTTGGAAAATTTGATATTCTTGAACCTTGTTTCTAAATATTCTAAATTTTTGATTTTCTTGGGATTTAGGTTCGGGAAAAACGCTGATTAAGTTTTCATTTGGTTTTCATTATTTTTTTATTTGGTTTAAAAAAAAACGTTTCAGCTAACATTATAGCCTTCATCAGTGTTGTGTCATATGAAAATAGTGTCGAATATAATCCAAAAATTACATATAAAATATTCACACCACGCACCACATAATGTTTACTGCGTACTCCATAGTCTCCATAGTCAATGTAGATAGTTTTACTGTTAAGAATAATAATTCTAAAAATATGTGGTTATCTTTTGATAAGTTTATATTAGTTTATTAATTGCAGTAAACATTATGTGGTGTGAATATTTCATATGTAATTTTTGGATTATATTCGACACTATTTTTTTCATATGACACAACACTGATGAAGGCTATAGTTAGCCAAAACGTTTTTTAAACCAAATAAAAATAATGAAAACACAAATGAAAACCTAAATCAGCGTTTTTCCCGAACCTAAAAATCCCAAGAAAATCAAAAATTTTAGAATAATTTTACATATAAAATGCCAGCGATCTTCATTTCATAGCCATCGCTGACGCCTTTTTTTAGATGATATTGTATTATTTGTAAATATTGTAAGAGTCTCAATTTATTTTTCTTTGGTTCAGTGAAAAATAAATAGCCTTACTGGCGTACAGTAGGAAATTTAAATCTCTCGGGCGCCACCTCTGTTATTTATAGTGGAAGAGGACCACGTTTCGCCAATACGGGTAGCTTTTATACAGTGGAGATACCAGGGAGTGTTGAAATGAAAAGAAATAAAACACACAGTTAACTATAACATAACATTAAGGCTTTATTTAATTAATTAACTATATGCTAAATACCCCAGGAAGTTTCACGACTTTACATTGTAGTGAAAGTGAAAGAAAATTTATAGTTAATGACTCGTAAAATAAAATTTACAACAACAATCGAGCACCTCTAGAGTTTTGACCGTATAATCTCGATATGCAACTCACTGTCCGATTTTATCACGCGAATTCAAAGCGCGTTTTTGACATGACGTTCTAGTAAATAAAACGACGCGAGTTTCTAACCGGCGTCTAACTTAACGGCGTCCTAGCAAACACAGACATGTACGTACCGGAGCGATATACTCTTTTATAACCCGACTTTCTAAACGTCGGCGACGTCGTTACAGGCGTCCCGGGATACACAAACGCGAGTTTCTGGATCGATCGCAAAAATCTAACCGCGTCCTGTGGGATAAACACACACGCGTCCTGGATCGATTGTAAAAGAAACGGCGTCCTGTAGGATAAATGCACACGTGAGCCCTGGATCGTTCGCACAAAAGAAACGGCGTCCTGTGGGACAATCACATACACGAGTCCCGGATTACTCCCGAAACTTAACCGCGTCCTGTGGGATAAACACACACGCGAGCCCTGGATCGTTCGCAGTAGAACGAAACGGCGTCCTGTGGGATAATTACGCACCCGAGCCCTTAATCGTTCGCAGTAGAACGAGACGGCGTCCTGTGGGATAAATACGCACGCGAGCCCTGGATCGTTCGCAGTAGAACGAAACGGCGTCTCGGTGAGTCGTCTGGATAAGCACAATCCACACCGCCCGGTCAGGACCACCCCGGGATGTCGGCGAGATCCCACGGCGCTCCTGATGAGAAAACGGGAACTACAGAACCAGCCTCGGGATTTGGACGAGATCCTGTCTTAGCTCCAAGAATATTCGCGCCCGTGTATTTGTTGTACTACCTTAACCGCTATCTGTCTCCCTTTTAACCAAAAGAAATCGGTCTTCGCGTCCACGGGATCCGGACAAAATGCCTCAACCTTGCACGTATTTTTACTTCTATAGTAGGACAGTAGACACCTTGAGCGGATACAAGTCTGGTTAAATTTTACGTACGCGCGTTTCGGACCAAGATGCCTCTACCTTGCACGTATTTTTACTTCTATAGTAGGACAGTAGACACCTGGAGCGAATTTAACTATCTCTATCTCCCTTATTCTATAACGCGTTAAGGCAGTAAAACAAACCGTATTAAGAAGAAACACTAATGAAGTTCATTACAATAATGAGTTAACAATAAAATACACTGCCTGTCATTATTACAAGAGAATCAAGTCTCTATTATTCTAATATAATATTAATATAATATACAGGGTGGCCCAGAAATTTTATGAACTTCATTACAATATAATTTTTCGAACATTGATACTTGCAAAATATACATATATATTTTGTGAATGCAAATAATAATACATCACTATTAGTAGATATTGAATGTTTTTTGTTAAATTAGATCGATTTTCAAACCCCAAAATTTAAAATATATTTACATTTTACCCAATATCTTATGTAATACATTATTTGTATATTGTAAAACATTTGCTGCATTTGTATGGTTCATAGTTTATTTGCCAAAGTATTTATTACTATAAATAGGTATATATGTTGTAGTTATTAACTGTATATTATGTATATTTCATGTGAACTATATAATTTTTAAAATACAAACCAAAAATCTGAGGAATAATTATGTTTTCCATGTATTCTACAACATATTTATTAATCCGTAGTATCTAACTAGCGTGACGTCATAAATCTCTCCCCGAGGCTGTTCTATTAGAGACGGCATTGTGTGATAGCAGTGATAGTTGTGGTGATAGTAGTTTATTGTAAATTATAAACAAATCAATTACAAATATACTTGAAATAGGTATATAACAGAGGGTACATATTCGTGTATAACTTTCTGTGAAATATTTCACTTGAAATGAATATTGCTGAAGAGTCAAGGTTAGAAATAACAAGCAGAGTAGAAAAGGTATTTTATTAATGTTTCTAATCCGACGACAAGTAGTTCATATTAAATTCATTCATATTATGTTTTTATATTATCTTCTATAGCTTATATAATAGAACAAATATTATAATATTAAAATTTTTGAAACTAGGAGCAGGCCAATCTCTCTCTCCTACAAGAACGTCTTTCCAAAAGCTCTCAGATTACGAAAGGAATATGTAATATATTGAATACATTTGAGCAGCGATTATCCAGATTAGAGGAAACTATTTTGCCTGTATATAATGAAACTGAAAACCTTCAAAAGGCACAATACAGTATCCTTGCTATATGTTTTATTATATACAAATATATTTTTCATCTTAATATAAACTATACCTATTTCCTGAATTTTATTCATAGATATTGATTGCACTTTGCTAATGCTTGATAATGTAATTGGATATTATGAGGTTTCTAGTAATGTAGAACATATAATTGAGAAAGGACCTGGTGAAAATACAGTTGAATTAGATCGATATATAGATGCACTAAATAGGCTATACAATGCTCAGAAATACTTCGAGAAGAATATCCCTCAGAGCGTTGAATTAATTAATGTTGTAAGTTTTTCTAGTTTAGTTAAACATTGAATGTAATCAGTTATTTTCAGTCTTCATTTTTTCATAAAGGAAGTGACAAATTAAATGCCGAATTTAAAACAATTCTAGACAAATGTAACACACCTGTTTTGCCTGTTGTTCTTTTAGATTTGATAAATTTTGAAGGTATGATTATGAATATTAATTTGATTTTTAAATAATTTTTTGTTGATTTACTAATGCTTATGTCTGATAGATTGGAAAAATATAAGTGAGTAGAAATTTAACTTAATTAAACAATAATGCACATATTTATCTATAAGTAATAAATGTTATTAAAGATCCTAAGGAGTCCAAGTCTCTTCCAAAACTTATAATGCCGGAATATAAAGAACAATTGATTAATATATCCACTTGGCTTTTAAATCACAACAGAGATGAATTTTTGACAGTTTATGGTAAAACTAGAGGCAGTGTGTTACAGAGGTCTTTAACAATGTTAAGAAATCATCAAAAATCTGTTAGTGGGGGTAGTGTCCATGGTACAACTAGCTCGCCTATGTTAGTAAGTTAAGATAAAATAATTTGTGGATTGAAATATTTAATAAGCTTTTTAGAAGCCAAAGTTTCAAACTAGACATGAGACAAGAAGACAACCATCAACAAGAAGATTACAAGCTTTTGAAAGGAAAGCTGGCAGAATGTTATTAAAAGCTTCTCAAACTTTGGAACACTCTACAGGTTTAAATTTGGGAGCAAGACGTGCCTCCCATCTAGGTTAATATATTAAACTTTGATGTGCAACTAAAAACTGAATTTTTGTATTTCTAGATACTTCTTATAGTGGAGAAGAAATGGATAATGAACAAGAAATGGAAAACTATTTGATTTGTGTTATTGCTTTACATAAGTTAATGCAAATTGAACAATATTTAATGAAAGACATTATAACTGTTACACATAGGCCTAGAGTGTTTGAATTAATTGTAAGAGAAGCAATGGATACTTTGGTTCAAGATGGAGAGGTTGTTTGCCATGTCTCTAGGGCAATTTGGTATTAAGTTTATCTTTAATGTTTCAGAATATTGTAATGAGGGCAAAAAAATGCATTCAAAGACATGACTTTGGAACAGTTTTAGTTATATTTCCTATATTTAAACAACTGAGGAGTCTAAAACCTGATTTCGAGAGGACTGTAGAGCAATGCGACTTAAATGTTAAACAAAAATTTGACTCAATTTTGCAAATGCTTCAGTCAACTGTAAGAATTCTCTCACATTTAGTAATGTCTTGGTTTATTTTGAAAATGACTATTTTTTTAATAGGGTGCAAAGGCACTTGATGATTTTATAGAAAGTCTTAGGTCAGATTCAGTGACTCAACTTCCTCCAGATGGTACTGTACATGAATTAACAAGTAATGTGATTATGTTCCTGGAACAATTGCTCGACTATAGTGACACCATTGGAATAGTTTTGGCGCAAGATCCCAGTTATGCAAAGCAACTGGAAAAATTAAAATATAATGAACAGAACAAGGCTGTATTAGGCTTGTATATAAGTAAGTGCTGAAGTACTGCTTAATATAGATATTTTTTTAATTTTTTTATCTTAGAAAAAGTCTTGGTTCAGCTTAATCACACTCTGATTAGTAAAAGTGAACAGTATAATGATGTAGCTCTAAAGTCACTCTTCAGGCTTAATAATAACAACTATGTCCTTAAGTCACTACAGAGAAGTAATTTGCTGGAGTTGTATCTTATATCAGAACCAAATTGTGAGGAATATTACTACAATTCGATACAAGATCATAAGAAGGCTTATTCTCATTGGTAAGCTACCTACTTTTATTAAATGGAATTGATTAAAAATATTCAATTTTAGTTGGAATAAGCTGCTGAATTATATTGAATGGAATGAGGTATTTACTCATGGTGATAAATTAAAAGATAAAGAAAGAGCTTTTCTTAAAGAAAAATTTGCTGGGTTTAATAAAGAAATTGATGACATGTCTAAATTACAAAGAGGATATTCAGTTCCTGATATAGAACTAAGAGAAAGCATTAAAAGAGACAATAAAGAATTGATCATTCCAAAATATAATGCCTTCTTTAATAAGTAATTTTCAAAGGTATTTCAAATTAATGATCTCCACTTATGATATTTTTTTTAGATATAGTAATTACAACTTTACTAAAAATCCTGAAAAATATATTAAACATAAACCAGATGAAGTATCAGCTATTATTGATAGATTTTTTGATGTTGCTGCATAATTAATTATTATTGATATTTATTGTATTTTTTTCATGCTTATATTTAATATATTTAATATTATTAATGCTTATATTTAATATAACACATATAGCCAGTGCACTAAAACCATTACAGACAGGTGAATTTATGAGGAAAAATGATTTTTTTTCAGAAAAAAACATGCGGAAAGCAAATTTCTATATGTTAGAGTGAAAAAAATTGTCTTAGCACTTGGAATCAAAGAAAAGTACTTAGCAAGCAGTAATTTTCTTTGCCGAATTGAGTTATGTTGACCAACGAGTTGACGCTGATAGTAACATCTCGGGATCTCAGACACCTTTTGTGTCATGAATTCGTCCACAAGGTTGCGAATCTTCTTTTTTCCTTCAACCAATATTTTAATTTTCACTTCGCTTCCAATTTCGATTTCAATCTTTCTATAATACAGTAGACTCTCACCTAACCTAACCTATTTTGTGTTTTATATATTTTTTTAAGTTAAAATATTTTATTAATAATTCTGACAAACATAAGAACAACTAATGTCAGTTTGTGTTGCTTCGGCAATTCTGGGATTCTCCGAAATTCCCCATAATTTCCCGATATATTAGGCCTCATGCTCGGATAATACGGCGTCACTCGGTTAAGGCGGGATTCTCAATAAACCTTCCCGTCACCGTTGAGCCACCTCACACTGGCCGAATTTAATCAAATCATGGCATAAATAGAAATATTTACTTTTAACAATTGGTCAAAAAATGTCAGTGCTATTGCTCTACTATTCCAGCAGACTAGTTGCGCATGATTTTGACATGATAAATGATTGATTTATTGTTTCAATTAAGGTCAAAGTTTATTAAAACGTTGGCAAGTTTTAAGCGTGCAGTTGGATAGATATACATTTGATGTCTTCAAATGTATTAAAAAACTTTTTTTTTAAATTTGCAAAAAGACTAAGCTAAAACTGCAGTTATGGAATAGGCCCGGGCTACTAAGATATGGACTTATTTAAACCAAAAAATAATAGTATAAGCTCTGGTATAAGTCTGTATTTTAAAAATCATATGAGATAATTGCTAGGTAATATTATGTTCTTAAGTGAACAATTAAAACATCTAAATACAAAAAGCATTTTGTTTGTGTTCTCACCATATTTCCAATGTCACATTTTTTTTCTATATTAAATGCCTTTCTATATAGTATCCACCAAGAAAGGTTGCCCGACGTTGACCGCAATAAAATTATACAGTGTAATCTAAAAGTTTTAGTTTCGACTAAGTTATACCAAATTTGTTAGATTTATCTGCATTCAAATTATTTTAGGCATTTTTTTACTCTAGATTGTAAAAAGGCCAAAAGAGCCAATAAAACAGATATCAGATAAACATTTTTCTAAACCTCTTTACATTGCTTTATTAGCTTTGGACTATTACTATAGTGGGGTATGGTGAATGTAAAAATTAGAGGGGATATTTACGTATATTTAATTTTTTTAGACAAAATGGCATTGATTTTGGGTCCGTTACAGTAGCCCCCGGTAACCGGTGAATCGGTGAGAGACTCCTGAAAATTATGTTTTTTTTCAACAATTTGGCAACGCCCGGTACAAATAAATATGGGCATGGAAACTACAAATATTCTAGCATCAAAATTGCTTACTACTTTTTGGTAACTATTGGTAACTCAAAAGATCTACATCATTGAATATATCGATATTTGATAAAAAAGTGAAAGTTTGATATCTGCAGAACAAAAGCACGAAATATTTTAACGAATAATATACGTCTAGTATAAAAGTAAATAACATAATTTGGTTTTGGAATAGAATGTATAAGCACTTGTAAATATTTTGTTTTCGTATGACCTCTGCCTTGCTGATCAGAAAACAACCTTTAGCTGATAAAAATGTATCGAAATGCATATAAAGAATATATATAACCAAAAAATAATTGATGCATTTTTATATCTATTGCCTACTATTAATTCATCAGTACACATTTTTTGGCTTATTTCTAACAAAACGGTTTTGTGTCGCTAGAATTACCGTCCGCCGCACTGTGCGCAAGGTGAAAATATGCTATAACCACAGACACTATGGCCACCGTCTAAAAATATTCTAATTAAAAATTTTTAGGCGGTGCATTGGCTATAACCACCTATAACTCTTCTGGGGGTGTGGTGCTAGCTCTGTAAGTTAGGTGCTAGATAGTGCTAGGTGGGTGCAATACAGTGCTGAAGTTTTAATGGAAATAAAAATAAAGCGAAATAATAAATACACTATAACTCTTTTGGGGGTGTGGTGCTAGCTCTGCAAATTGGGTGCTAGGTAGTGCTAGGTGGGTGCAATAGAGTACTAAAGTTTTAAGGCAAATATTCAACCGGTGGGGGGCTAGCGTTACATTAGCCCCTCCCGGTAAAAATGTCCTGTAACTCGCTAGGGGTTGTGGTGCTAGCTTTGTAAGTTGGGTGCAATACAGTGCTAAAATATTAAAGAGTTTGGAGAACCGGGGGGCTACTGTAACGGACCCATTGATTTTTCCTGTTAAACGTATTCAAAATATTAGAAACATCATTTTATAAATTTATTTTTCGGCATTACCATTTTGTTTTAAATCTAAATTGTTAAAACTAGAATTAGTAAAATCATAAAAATTTAAAGACCTAAAAAAGTGGGGATCGTGTCCCCAGTAGCATAAGCTAGGGTGGGATAACATATGCTACTCTTTCGTCCTCAATGATATAATCTATAATTAAAATATTGCCTATTTAGTTCATATAAACGGTATTCTGATTAGCCTAGATTACCCCTGCATAATACAATTTCTGTTAAATATGAAACTAAAACTAATTTTTATTTATATATTTAGGCAAATTATGTTGATTTTTAAAATTTTTAATAAAACAAAACGTAATTCTATTTATGCTATGATTTTTTTTAGTGTGGGACTGTGTGCGTGCTTTGAATACTTTGGGCGGACGTAGCACTGTTACGTTGGCCTGGGTGCCAGGGCACGAGGGTCACAAGGGTAACGAAAAGGCAGATGAAAGGGCCAAGCAAGGCTCATCAATGCCATTCATAGGCCCAGAACCCTTCTGCGGCGTTGCAAAGGCGGTCACGAGAATGGCCACGGAACGATGGGTGGCCAACAAATCTCTAGAATGGTGGAGAAACTCACCAGGGCAGAGACAGGCGAAAAGGTTCATTGTAGAACATTCGCCAAAATTCACGGTAGACTTGATAAGCAAGGACAGAAAGACAGTCAAAGCTGTAGTAGGTCTACTAACAGGGCATTGTAAGCTAAATAGGCATCTAAAGCTGATGGGATTAACAGACGAAGCTATGTGTAGGTTCTGCCAAGTAATAGTTATAGAAGGCAAATAGTTCTGAAGAAGAAACGTCAGAACACATTTTATGTCGGTGTGACAGCCTGGCAAATGTGCGGTTCCCGGTAATAGGCAATGATAGGCCATTGCCAAGGAGCTACATGGAGGGTATCTCCAAGTTGCTAAACTTTGTGAAAAGGATAGGACTGGAGAATGTAATCTAAGGATCAGAAGAGGACCACAATAGATCTGAGAAGATCGCAGTGGATCAGGCCGAAAGCCACCTCTAAGAATCTAATCTAATGCCATGATTTAATTCAAATCGACCAGTGTGGCGCCGCGCCCGCCCTCTCGACAGATAACATGAAGTAAATGGGAGAGGGACGTTGCCATGACCGCGACGTGACGGTGTAGCGGTGGCGGGACCCCATAATTTCCCGATATATTAGGCCTCATGCTCGGATAATACGGCGTCACTCGGTTAAGGCGGGATTCTCAATAAACCTTCCCGTCACCGTTGAGCCACCTCACACTGGCCGAATTTAATCAAATCATGGCATAAATAGAAATATTTACTTTTAACAATTGGTCAAAAAATGTCAGTGCTATTGCTCTACTATTCCAGCAGACTAGTTGCGCATGATTTTGACATGATAAATGATAGAAGAGGACCACAATAGATCTGAGAAGATCGCAGTGGATCAGGCCGAAAGCCACCTCTAAGAATCTAATCTAATGCCATGATTTAATTCAAATCGACCAGTGTGGCGCCGCGCCCGCCCTCTCGACAGATAACATGAAGTAAATGGGAGAGGGACGTTGCCATGACCGCGACGTGACGGTGTAGCGGTGGCGGGACGTTGTAGTGAGAATCGCGCCTAATACGGATTTCCACGACTCAACTAAACACGGATTTCGACGGATAATCCAACGATCGGAAAATAGAGAGTCGGTTTGGTAATTGAGAGTCTAATGTATACGCATCAAAAATCGGCGTCAAACCTCACCAACTTTACTGCAACCACTAACTATCCCGTACAATGAGCATAAAGAGTCTAGCAATATTTTATCTGTTGCAAGTGTCGCAACTCGTCGTCCGGAACCGGTAATTCCCTGGAAATTCTTCAACAAATCGAGTTAGGCTTGGTTGTCTCCCCAATTTTAGTTCGGAATGATAGAAATATTCGAGTTTTAGAGATAAAGATATTTGGTTTAGAGATAAAAAAATACATAGAGTTAAGAGTTAAGATGGGCTCGATGGACGGCTTTTTAGTACTGTTTGTGTATTCTTTTTTCTAAATATTTGCTATAGTCTATCCGAGATATACAGGGTATTGCAATTTTTAAATAAATTTATTTTTTTGTGGAACGACGAACGACGGTTATTCGGTTTCGCTTTCTCACTTTTAATATGTAGCAGGTTGAGCTACCTTGCGTCTCGATACAGTCACAACTCGCGAAGTTTGCCGTATCAGAGTCACGTTTTATTCTTATCCTGGTGATCCGTTATTTTTATTTCAAGGTGACAAAATCACAGGTAGCAATTTTTTGTCCAACTGTAGCAGTTTATAATTCAGTAAATACATACTGTACATACAATCAAAAAATAAAACGCGTGGCTGGCTGGGAAATAGCGATTAATTACATTTGCCATATAATTTTACATACCGATTTGGTCATCGAAACTGTGCGGTCTTGATTTTAACATGAAACACAGTGATGTAGACAGCTTAATGGAAAATCGAGTGTATTAAAAAGAGACAAAAATTGGATCGACACATTTCTTCTATGCGGTATTGTCGGATTTTGCATCAAAATTTCAAACCGCATAAGTAGGCGTTTACGAAAAATGTTGCGTCAAAGGTTGGAACTTTATTTTTCACTATTAGTTACTCATTTTACAACAGCTGTAATAGATTATATTTAGTTTAGATATATTATCATCATTTCAGTAGTATACATAAAAGTTTTTAAAATAGCTTATATTTTTCTACAAACGTAAAAAACCGGCAACACTGTATACCGCTTTTGATTTTCTTTCTCACTCTGTCAACCGGTCATTTATATTAATCTCTGTCACACGCATTAGAATCTAGGACACATAAATTGGGTGACCAGCAGTGTATAAAATGACAGTGACTTTAATTTCAAAGCCATCGTGTCAACATTAGACCGCATATTATGTTGTAAATCAAACAAAAAAAAACTTTTGACAATATTTATTGATTTTTAATTTTTTAAGATAAGATGTATTTTTAATATATATTTATTTAAAACAGTTATTTTATATTTTACCTGAATTCGACAACAAAAAATAAACCATTAAGAAATGTTTTAATGTTTGTTTCTTTCATATACTTTTTACAAGGAATAACAAGATATCTATTTTAACGGTGTACATATTCAAGTCATAGGAGGTTCTTTACTAAAATAAGGAGCTGAACTTTTGACTAGCATTGTGTGACATACATCACAGACTTTGGATGGCCTTAAATTAGGGCCTGATTGCACAGATCGCGTAAGACAATTCTGACAAAAAATCTGTCCGCAATGTTTACAGTGCTGCTTCTTTTTGGAAGTGGAGAACTGATTTCGACAGTTCGGACATTCGTCTACATCCTCTTCGTGTTGCCACCTTACTTGAGTATCCGATTCTTCCCGAATTTTCTCAAGTTGAACCTTTAAAAGAATAAGAAATATGGCTGAAAAATGTTTATACCTTTATGAACTTCCTCCTAAACATTAACAGTGTATAGTAGTACAATATCATCGAAAAAAAAAACAGCGTCAGCGGTGGCTATGAAATGAAGATCGCTGCCATTTTATATGTAAAATTATACGGGGAATGTCATCAATCATCATTTCCAAGCCAACTGGACGCCGTTTTTTTTATTATACGGTAGTATTCTTTCGTTATGACACACCGGTATCAGGTCTAAGGAGAGACCAAGTTAAAGAGGTGGAGAAAATGGAGACAGATCCTCCAGCCTACACCTCACGGGTACCTCAGCCGGAGGCAAGCTCCTCGACTGTGAAGGGCACGGAGGGCCAAACTCCAACCGTGGAAGGGTGTGTACCCTCGAAGGAAGAACTGTAGTCAGAGGAGGATGGGAAATACCCTGTCCCCTCTACAACAGAGGTATGATGGGTTATAGACTGTGTAATGACTCAAGGAAGGGGGGCACAATAGATCTTTAAGGTCGCAGTGATTAACCCCCCCCCCCTCTCCCTCATTCTACATTCTACATTCTGAAGAAAGGTGGGGGTACTGATTGGAAACGAAAGAATACCGCGTAAAGTGAATAAATCAGTTTAAGTGAAAATTTTCAGTTACTACCAGTTCAGAAAGAGAATACTACTAATAATAATACATATCATATAACCATTGAATAAAAAGGATATAGTACCAATAAAAGTGGCGATATCAATATGGTCAATAAATCTCAAGAACTAAAATTGATTAAGCAAAGTTTTATAGAGAAAAAGAAAAATATAGTAAAGATATTTGAGATGAGTGCTACAATGTGCTCAAAATGAATTTATGAAATTTGACTATTTTAAATTAAAAAATCTGAATTTTTTTAAATATCATTCCCTATATAGGGTGGTGACAATTTCGATACTCAACATTGGTATTTCGGAAACTAAAAGAGATACGAATTCGGTTGAATGAGACAAAAGTTGGCGTTATTAGTTTGACAAAGACCTGTGAAGAAAACCCGTGTATCTTGATTAGTTTCCGATTTATGTAAAAAAAATAGTTTATTTTTTTTAAAGGACAATATCATTAGAACTATTGTATCCATTGCAACGAAGTTGGTAGTTTTATATTTTTGATCTCGCCGTTTTTAGAAATTTTGTAAGCCTTTTAGATTTCGCCCAACAAAAGTTTTAATTTTCTTATGCATTTTGAATTTTTATACCTTCAGATAGAGCAAAAAATACATATACGGCTATATCCAATTTTGATCCATTAATATAAAAAAAATCCCGAAAATTCCGAAAATCCCGTCTCTTTGAAAATATGCCCAATATCGGATAAGCCTTTTGGAAGTCTAATAACACAAGTTTTGTCTCATTTAACTGAATTCCTATTTCCCGCCCTGTATACCAGAAACAAACAAAAACAACGTCAGAGTTGGCTAGGAAATTGAGAATGATGACATTTTATAATTAAAATTATATGGTGAATGTCATTGATTGTCTCTGATGCTGATTTCGTTTTTCAATCAAACAATACAATATATTTTTATTAATCAAAAATAAAATAATGTAATTATAATACTTAATAACAATAGCATACTGGGTGTTTCCCAAATGTGGCTCACCTTTATAAAAATATTATAAGTACAGGGTGTAATTTGGTTAGGTATGCGAAAATATCAAAAGTTGACATATGATCTCTCCAAAAAAATCCTTTATGGGTATTTCGCCATTGCACTGCAAGAAAATCTACAAAATAAAATAGTTATTTTTTGTAAATACTTCTGCGTTAAACCTAAACGGACGCTGATTGTCAGAATTTCTGTTTACAGTTATACAAATTTGCCTAACAAGAAAAAAATGCTTAACGTTTCGGAAAGTTTATCTCTTTCCGTCGTCGGAAGCAAAAAAATACAAAGAATAAAGGAAAAAACTATTTAAACTATTTAAATTCAACTATTCGAGAACACTTTACTTTTTTAAAACAGATACGTCTACAAGAAACCGTTGACGTTCTGTTAAAAATGAAATGAATGACTTTCCGAAACGTTAAGCATTTTTTTCTTTGTTAGGCAAATTTGTATAACTGTAAACATAACTTCTGACAAGCAGCGTTCGTTTAGGTTTAACGCCAGAAGTGTTTAAAAAAAATAACTATTTTATTTTGTAGATTTTCTTGCAGTGCAGTGGCGAAATACCCATAAAGGATTTTTTTGGAGAGATGAATCCGCCACATAGGTATAGACATTTTTTGACATATGATATGTCATTCTATTCAGAGTGTCATTTTCTATCGAATTAAGTAAAAAAATACCGACGGTGCCATTTAAATTTTTTTTTCAATCATTTAAATTATATTTTATTTATCTGAAAAAATAAAAAAGTTATAGGGGTGAGCCACTTTTGAGACGCACCCGGTAGAGCATTTGCGGAACGCTGAGTCATCCTGCATATCAACCTAGGGATTGACTATATGTATACGAACCTTAATGCTCCACAATGCAGTTTGGTAATTATTCACGAAATTCGATGTTACTATCTGTATTCTATTAATAGTGTATTAAATTTACCTGTAAACTTTGCGACAATCTGACAAAATCTCTTTGCACCGTTTCAGTGGTCTGAAGCTCTTGTTGTAAGGAATATACTCTTGTTTTTAACTCTCCCTTCTCACTTTCCAGTTCTTTCTACAGATAAAAGAATAATATATTTTTACCTTGAAAAAAAAAATCAATGCCCAATTAAAAGTATGACATGTAATCTACCTTATTAAATATAAAGAAAATAATAAAATTAAAACTTGTTCGTAAAATCATGCAGTGTTCTTTCAAATAAAATGTGTACTATTGTTAAAAAATGCATATATTGCTGTCTTACATAGTATATAAATTTATTTTCTTAGTTTATTTGATCACAAGAGACAAGTTACAAGTGCCTATAAATTCACCATGGATAATGATGTTTTTGTTTCAAGTAATAGCGAACGAATTAGGTACATAATTGTGTTAAGGTCGATTCTCATTAGGGGTTCCCCAGGGAGTGTAAGAAAACTAGCCTCTTCGTGGTGCAGTCTAGAAAACGTAGCATAAGTTAAACGTAGCATAGGTAAATAGTCTACAAACATTAGTCCTGGCGAAATTGCACCGACCAAGTGCTAGCGCTAACAACTTATATAGGGAGAGGCTTTCAAAAGAAGAACTCAATAGCTGTGTTTAGCGATTTAACATCGGCGTACGAGACGGTATGGCGAAAGGGAATGATATCACAATTGCCCAACCACTAAATAACATGCTGTCTAGTCGGAAGTTCCCCTAAATGGAAATATATGTAAATTATGTAAATTAAATGATGAGTTACCACAAGGATCTGTACTTGCCCCGCTCCTTTTCAACTTCTATATTACTGGCCTATCGAAAACGAGAGCACGAGACGCTGATGACATAGCCTTAGTGAGCCAATCGAATGATTTTATCAGCTCGGAAGCCGTGTTCATTCGTGATTTGCAAATACTAGAGACGTTTCTACACACATGGAGGTTTAAGATCCATCTAAATAAAAGAGGATCTAGTACGTTTAGTAAGTAATTAAAGTTATTTTGTTAGTTAACATAATATGTATTTTGTGAGCATATGTTTTCTAATAATATACTTAAACTTAAAACTATTTTAAAAGCCAAACGAATAATTAATGTAAGTATCTGACAAGAAACGAAGAATAGAAAGAAATTATTATACACCAGAAAAAGAATGGGATGCCAATTAAAGTCTTTTTGAATCTGGTAACTGTGCATATTTAGCCGAGCTTCAAGGCCGTCGACGTGCCGTCGATCTAAAACCGAAAATTTAAAATTTCCAATTATAGCCAAGTTCGGTAATCACATCCAGATGTCGACGGATTTTTTGTCACGTGATCACAGATTGGATGGAGTTAGCTGAAATTACCGAACGGTTTGGAATGTTCGGATCGCTAATGGAAAAGTGACAAGTTTGAAATCCCAATTCCCAATTGAAATCTTTCAATGTTCAAATACAAAAGGACCAGTAATTTATTTTTTGAGTTTTGTACGTCGGACTTTACTAGTTTTGTATGTCGGACTACATACTAATCGGACTTTATCTATTCAGCAACTAAAACTATTTTCACGTACTTTCATCCTCTTCGATTTCTTTATATTGATTATCATTTACAACAATTGTGAATTGTTTTTGTAGTCAACATCAAACAGAACAAGTTCCTTCATCTTTTAAAAACAAAAAACCAAACAAAATAAACAATTTAAAACTTGACAACAACTTGGAAATTTAACCTCACTAATTTAAATTAATCATTAATCTGTTTGCTGCGTCAAAATTTTTCGAGCAAAAAGATCACCATTCGATTGCTCCTATTTTATTTACCGAACGGTTCAGATTTACTTCCCCTACATCTTGATGTCATAAACGAACGATCGAGATCGATCCGAGCGGTCGGACGTGAATACCGAACGCGCCTTAAATTCTGATTATGATATTGTCGCGCCATCTAGTATTTTATTTGCGCAATTTTAGCTCTTTCATTTCGAGTATTTTTCTGTTGTGTAGCTAGATATTCTGTGGTTTCATCTAAGCAATACATATGCGAACTACAGGCCAGAAGTTGAATTTTGAAATCAAATACTGCAATACAACCATCTCTCAAAATATCTTGGGGTAATACTGGATCGCTCCCTAATATATAAACAACATCTAACTAAAATAGTCTCTCAATGTGAAAACTAGAGACAACGTGCTACTAAAATTATCTCGAAAAAGTTGGGAAGCACAAATGCACCAGTACCTGAGTGTTTCATACTCTCAATAACTGCACTAACAAAAAACTAAAATACTTAAATATTATGATAAAACCACGATTTCAATATTATTTTAATGCTATCACCAGGACGGCGCACAATGGAACGAGTCCATGTTAAATGTTGGGCATGGGACTAAGATTTTTTTTGGGAAAATGGAAAACTGAATATGGTAGTTTCAAAAACAAATGTCAGGCCTCTCTTAAAAACTGATTTTTAGAAAACAAAAATGTATTTTGTCGTTTTTACAAAGGTTTAAAATTAACCGTTTTCAAAAAGGCTAATTCATGTTGAAAATATTACCACAATTTGATTTTTTATTGCCCAAGCTGCGGTAGGTATTTTAAAAAAAAAAATTTTTAATTTAACTCGTTCTGTGTTAATGAATTTTCGGCAAAATTTTGTACATAATATCTCATCAATCACCCTCTATATATTTTTGAATTAAAAAGTTTTGAATTTTTATTATAGATCTAATCATCAAAAAATATGAAGTAAGTGCCGCAAGGTACCATAAAAAGAATAGCGGCATATAGTAGACCATAATACCCTTATTATAAACATATATAAAAAAAGTTGCCCCAATTTGCCGTTTTTTGAAAAAACAAATTTTGAACTATACGATGGATACTATTTCCAAGGGACTTTTAAGTAATTTACATAAGTTGAACCAGTCTGGCTTTAAAAATATATTGCACCCCCCGCCTTTTAGGATACATCTACGGTTTTTATTATTATAAGCACAACTATTAAAAAAATAATTCTCAAATATGAGTTGTTAATGAGAAATTAGTGTTCTATCACTTTACTATAGTTATTTTCTTAACAAATGCTTAAAGTGGTACTTTCCCGCACGCTTTATTTGACATTTACCCTGACATTAACAAATAATGCTAGTCGTTCAAATAATTTTCAAATATGCAGTAATTTAATATGGTTATCACTTGGCTGAAATATTCAAAAACGAAACGAAAAACATGCTAAACCATTATTTTTTAACATTATTTTGTCCAGAAAACATTAACTTTATCTAAAACCGCGTTTATTAAAATACAATAATTATGCAATTTTCAAAGGCTCATTTTTGTTGACCACTCTATATAATAAATTATTAATCTATTAAAAATATTTTTTCTAATAAAACTCAGAGTTTCTCCTCTCCAAAAAAACTCAAAACGAAAAAAGATAACAATGAAGCAAAGTTATCCGCTTTAAAAAAAATTGGTTTTGGTAAAACACGCTATATTTTTAAGGCGCCCTATACATATATGGTTTAAGTTATGTAAGGCAACAATTTTTTTTTATAATTTAAGACGTCCCTCTTTACATGATATTACAGTATATAATTTTAAGTTTTCCACCACAGTTTTCCACATTGAAAGAATCAAGTAAAAAACCTCATGTCCAACCGCTCCCATAAGCTCGTTCCACTGTGCGGCCGCGGCGGCGTGAAGTTCATAATTTTCTGATTTCGGCCGTTGAAGCGCTGCGGTCGGAATTTGTTGAAATCTACTGAAATGCACCAAGCCTATAGGTAGCATAAGTGGGGAATATTAGAAGATACTAGCTGCGACTGCGGGTATCAACGACAAACGATATCTTTATAGCGTCACAGAATGCCCCTCGCGAAGATTTCCGGTAACCGGTAACAACATCTTGTATACATGAAACCTCCAAAGAAGCAGTTGACATCTACCTTTAATCCATCACAGTCAATAATTTTACATTGTCATTTTTATATGTGCATATTTTTTCTGTTTTTACATTGTATTGTTCTAACTATTTTAAGATGATGCATGTTTCGTGTGCTGTTATACTTGTATATGTGGTTGTATGTTTTTATTACTATTGTTTTATTGTTATCATTGATGTATACCCTAGCTCTCTCTGAGCTCGGCTACGCGACGCGTTGCAGTGCTGCAGAGTGTAATAATGCAAGTGGCGGTTCCTCAATAAATGGACATGTGCACGTGTATGTAATGCCTTTTTTGAGAAAAAAAAAATATTATTCTTTTGCTAATTAGATTTATTCCAAAAACAATTCGTCATAAACTGGAAACATAAACTATACACGAAAACTTCGTCGAATTTTTTATTTGGCATAAAGCTTAAAGCTATCTATAACTTTCTAAACAAAACTCCCAATCGCCATAATATAATTTGTTGTAAATACGTAAAGTGTCAATTTCACTACACATTTACAAATTTCACGCTAATTTTTCACGATTTATTCTACATGGCGTCTGACATCGTTGCAATCAGAATGCCCATCAGAACATTAGATTTAATTTGTGAAACTTTTGCCATCCGCACCCTTTGTTCCTCGCGACACTCTATACTCTGTTTTTTTTTTCTCAGGTAAGATTTCGACAGACGATGACAGAAGAAAAGCAGATGACATCCCATACCAATCTATTTATTTTACTAAAAAAAGTTTCTAATTATTTTTAAGTTATCTATGGATGGGTTTAAATATAAATCCGTCATGCGTCGTGTCTTGTTGTTTTTAACCAGTTTTATTGGTTTATTTAAAAAATGACAGGTCGTATTTTAATTTTATTGGTTTGATGGAACGATGAACGACAAACGGACGCCGATGCGTATGAACTCGCCTTTAGATTTTTGTCATTTTTGACGCTTGTCAAAGTCTTGCCAAATTATAGGTTATAATTTTGTGTCAACTTTTGTTAAATACCCTGCGTTTTGGAAGATGATGCATTTTGATTCGTATTATTACGTGTGTTTTGTGTCTTTTGAAGTCAAGTGGAGGAAAAATCGAGTGAAAATTAACTGTAGACCCAGAGCACAGTTTATGGTTAATACTCGCTGCCCAGGCAGAAAGTCTTATACACCAATGAA